AGGTCTACCGGACCAGAGATGCCTGCCGAGGTCTTCGTGCCTGCAATAAATATATTGTTGAAAGGTGTTTCTTGAATTAAATATCGTATGACGAATGGGGCAATATGGCAAAACATACCGTGTGGTTAGGCAATATAGTAAAACACATCAAAGAGTTAAACAATATTGTCACGAACATCGAATGGTGGGGCAGTGTCATGATGCGTACTACATGATGGTCAATGGCATGGTAGGCATGGCACGGTGGGCATTAAGCACATCGTCTTAAGCACATCTTCTGATGGGTGAAATCCATGGCCAGTATGATGGATTGGACAATGTTGTGTTAACTATAGTGTGGCGAGGCAGTATTACGAAACAAATCGTATAAATTGGGTAAAATCCTAGAACAAATCGTATGGTGGAGCTTCATGACAACCTGTCATACACATGCGCATAATATTGGCTAATACTCTATCGTCAGGTAAACTGTCAACGAATTCATTTCTAAACTCACACTCTGCAATGTCGATATTAACTTAACTGGAGAACTAACCCGTTTCTTCGCATGTCATGGTGGCTTGAACCCAATTGCCCTGTCTGTCGCACGTAGACGTCGTCGTGCCGTTATTGGCGTTGGTGTATTGGAATCGACAAGAATATTTGTATTCAACAACACCATCAGCTTTCACAATAGGACTCCTTGAGCCAACTGAGTCAGTAACCGATGGCTTCTCGCGACAGTTGGGATCTGAAGGAGAGAATGCGGAATCAGATTACAGTTTTGCATGAACATAAGTGTCTTGTTATGTGTCAGTTGGACTGAATTGTTTCGAGTTTCTCGTGATATAGCCCAGGCACTATGATTCCTGCGTTAAACAGCATTCACTTATTTAGAATGGAGAATCAAGCGAGGCAAAATTTACCTTTTCACGAATTTGGGACCCAGTTTTTCAAGAACGGTTTTGTTTAGTCGTATCTATTACGCAAGTTCGATAATGAAAAAGAACACACTACAAAGTCGAACAATAAGGGAAGGAACAGGAGGGTTTCATATGTGGACTTCTGAACATTGCAGCATTCAAGAGAATGATGATGTACGAGGTGAATACACGGAGACTAAGGATAACTGTATTCCTTGCTAACTGTCACTTTTCAGACGAGGGTGCACATACTACCCGTATGAGGCTTGGACAAAGGTGCACATACTACCCGGATTAGACTTGAACAAGGGTGCACATACTACCCGTATGAGACTTGGACAAAGGTGCACATACTACCCGGATCAGACTTGAACGAGGGTGCACATACTACCCGTATTAGACTTGGACGAGGGTGCACATACTACCCAGATCAGACTTTGATGAGGGTGCACATACTACCCGGATGAGACTTGGACGAGGGTGCACATACTACCCAGATCAGACTTGGACGAGGGTGCACATACTACCCGGATGAGACTTGGACGAGGGTGCACATACTACCCAGATCAGACTTGGATGAGGGTGCACATACTACCCGGATGAGACTTGGACGAGGGTGCACATACTACCTAGATCAGACTTGGACGAGGGTGCACATACTACCCAAATCAGACTTGGACGAGGGTGCACATACTACCCGGATGAAGCTTGGATGAGGGTGCACATACTACCCAGATCAGACTTGAACGAGGGTGCACATACTACCCGGATAAGACTTGGAGGAGGGTGCACATACTACCCGGATAAGACTTGGACGAGGGTGCACATACTACCCGGATAAGACTTGGACGAGGGTGCACATACTACCCGGATAAGACTTGGACGAGGGTGCACATACTACCCGGATAAGACTTGGACGAGGGTGCACATACTAACCAGATCAGGCTTGGGTGAGGGTGCGCATACTACCCAGATCAGACTTGGGTGAGGGTGCACACACTACCCGTATTACATTGGACGAGTGTGCTCGTACTACCCAGATAAGATTTGTACAAGTGTTTTCTTTCTAGAACGATCGTGTTTATAATGTAAATCCCTTCATAATTCATTTATGTTGGAATCAGTAGAATCCTATGTGCAGCATACTTACGGAGACTGATGTATTTACACTCAGCAGCAGAGTGGTTGCTAGGTAGATATCCTGCCGCATCAGCCTTCACATAGATATGGCAGTCACCTCCTTTCTTCCTTGAGACTTGATTAACAAAGCAAGAGAAGCTGGGTTCGGTACACAAAGGTCCACGTATCTCCTTGCGTTCACAGTACACGGCAACGACGCAGGTGCTATTCCTGGAACAAGTTTTCAGACACTCATCCTCCGTCTCTTGATTGTCGTCTGAATGGGCAACTTGAAGACCATTGATGCCAAAAGCATTATTTAGTAAGTCAGCTTCCGCGATATCTTCGAATGGACTACTTTGGGCATCACCTCTGGCTTCTGGTGAAATGCTCGGTAGACTGATCGGTTTTGTAAAGCTTGGTATTCCCAATGTAGCCAACGAAGGCAACGAAATACCCACGAGGGCAACCGTTATCTGCATCCACATTGCTGGGGCCTAGGGAGGGGCGGTGCAATGGCGCAGTGCTGGACGAGCAGGTCAGTAGAAATGACGCTCCCCAGTGGCTGCCAGGACATTTATACGGGACAGTGTTTTCCGATAAACATCAACTGTGTTTTGTTTCCCAAAACAAGGCATATCATACATACATTCTGCTTATCTAAAATCGATCTATTCACTATCTTGGGAATAGAAGCCCGAACTGTGTGAACGTCATAGCTTTCTCGCTATGGAATTTCGATTTTAAGAAAACGAACATCGTTAGAGAACAAACATCCCATTGCTGGTGCACACATCTTTGTCTTCATCTTGTTTATCGGGGATGTTGTGCGTAGGCCCCTACAGTTACAACAAGCAGCCTTTCAAATACACATCAACACTATGGGTTTTAACTGCATTGTATGCAATGCAAACCTTACACACGTATAAACATTTCAATGTTATCACCAGGCATTAGTCTATTATGTTTCTGTAAACAACATGTACACAGTATTTATAGATCAGGTTGACGTAGATCTGCATAAGCAGCCAATACAAATCCACAGATACATCCTTTACAAATGTCTCAAATGTTCACTTGCTTTCATGTGGATATGTTTCTGAGTGTCCTGAACTTCACCAAGAAGGATCTGCGTGCTAGTGGGTTCTTTGTGGACATTATATAAGGTTACAGGAGGACATCTACAGCCTGAAGTTAGCAGGGGGTTCATTATTCGTTTTTCGAATAATTTCTTCCCCGAAAACATTTTCCATGAAGTGCATTTCTCCTTAACCTTTGGGCTTCATGATATATTGAAATAATTTGAAAACGAACCCCGTCACGGAAGGCCTGTGACATCAGCAACACCAGGGACGATCCCGAGAATGCTTTATATGGGGATGACAGACAGATGAATGAGACAGTACATTAAGTTATCACAGAAGGTTTGGAAACTTATGAACTCGTTGGGTTTACCACTTCCGCCTTGATTCATAGAAAACAATTACAACAGTGCCAGTAGTGGAATGATTTGACATCGCAAGCACAGACGAAGGCAAAGACACCAATCAGCTGGTAAAGGTATCCATATTCTGGAATTCCGAGGATGTCATCATGGACAATATTCAAAAAGGGCAGACAATGCGTGTGAAAGCGTGTTTTACTGCTCTTTGGCAATTATGGGATGCAATTTAGACTGAGAGAGGTAAGCAGCTGGGAGTCCTCTTCCACGACAATGAGCCAATGCACAAATTAGGCATTGCGATAACTGCTAATACTGTGTCTTGTACTCCTCGGAACCCCCACCATTCTCCTGATCTGACTCCGTCAGATTTCCATTAGTTCTAAAACTCGAGGCTCGTTCTAATCTGAACAAACATGATAGCAGCTGATCAGTGCTTCCAGGGTAACAATATGGAGCTCTGCGAAACTGGGATAAAATGCTTCTTAAAAGGGATCTTCAAAAGACCATTTGAGACGAGTGGAAGTACGGGCATTTGGTTGAAGTTTGCTATAACAGTGTATATGTGATATTTATATAAATATCTAAATGATAACTATTTCGTTCCTCAGAAACGTTGTGGTCATAGATGTAGTTAGATGCTTAAAATAGGGCTTGAAACACTTGCAAATTGTGTGACTGGCGGCTGCTACCGGTATGGCGGGACATACCCACCAGAACGCCTGGTGATATCATCTAATTTCACCAGTCCATTCATATAAGTTTCACAGTTATATTGCCCTTTACCACTTTACCCTTTGTCTCTCAGGATGCACTGACGTTTTATATATACATTTCTATCTTCAAAGATTTAGAATATTTTGTCTTAAACTTCAGGTATATTGATAATATCATATCCTTAATAATGATTGAACAGCCAATTGTCTTCCTCTGATTTATCCATCTGGATATAGGGTTTACATACAAAATGACCACAGACCATATGACAGCATGGATGACTTTGACTTTTGACAACACAGTTCCCTCCCAGTTGAGCAATATTATAGAAACTCTTTCGAGTTTACATATCATACGTTTTGAGGTACAATCCAGCATGCTTCAAAGCGCGTCGTATGACTATTGCTGGCGATTGTACAACATTCAAGGGTTTAGTTATGCTTTTAACAGGCGTTGAACACGTGTGGATGACATTTCTAAGATTTAGATGCAGTTCCCCATTGCAACTTATGTTCCCCTGTTTTGTTGGAGGTGTTTTAGAGATGAGCAATTGACGTGCCTTTGCAAGTGTTTGTTATTTGTATGTTGTTAGGTCACCGGAAGGGCAGGATAAACTCACCATTTTGCTGACACCAGGTTATGATCACTGTTTGATAATGACTCATGTACACATGCTTTAAATTTAATATGACAGAGTCGATGTTAGATTTCTTATAATTATGGAAAGGTTTTTGTCAGGTGTATTTGTGAAAAGAGTTCAAAGATCAAAACACTTTCTGCATGCCACAACACGGCATTGGAGGAAATACAATCAAAAGGCGAAACTGAAAGTATTCTTTATTCCAAACGGGAATGGCAATGTGTCTACATGTTAAGCTACTGTTGAGCAAATTGTTGTCAGAAGTTGTTGTAGTATTTCCCGAGGGAGGTGAGTGTTGACGTCGACTGGTCCAGGAGACTACTGGCCTGGGTCACAAAGCTGTCACCCGCCCACCTGCTGGCAAACCAGGCGTACCTGCAACACGAAAACAAAAAGGATGAAAATAGCGTTTTCATGAAGTTCCTAAAGTCTTGTCCAAATGACTGAGGTATATTTGTATGGGGTCCAGGGTAAGACATGTCTCCAGTGAGCACCCCCGTCAGGATTGTGTCTGGGGACAATAGGTACCCATGCACCCCACGCTTGGTCTAACAGGAGACTATTAAGGCTAGGGCGGTGATGCACTCTCACAACATTCATTATTATCATATCAATATTGATTGACTACGATATATCCCAATTTTTTCAATCGTAAATTAAAAATGAAGTTCCTCTACTGTTTCTAAGAGTATATATGTCTCTTTTGTGAATTATCCTTATTTACAAACCAGTTCAGTGCCACAGCCATGTCATGCCATCTTAGATCTCGTTTGTTCAGCGATCTGGTCTGACTGTAATAATCTATACCAATCTGACCGCTGATTATTTCAGAGCGGTGTAGGTCAGGAATAAAGCACGTGTTTTGGTGCGTGTCTTTAGTGTAAACGATATAGGAAACGTAAGTAGTGGTGTGTGGTCTCATGCATTGAGTTCAAGTCACAAATCATATGAAGGTAGGCAGCATTGGTCACGAGTCCTTGGGTGGGTGACCGTCTTTGGCAACTTGATTCCTGAGAGTTTCTAGGACATGTGGTCACACACGTGATCTCAACTTAGGGAAGTGAGTTTGTTCAAACTCTGTTCACCAAGCCAAAAGTGGGTACCAGTGGGACAAGTCATGTCTATTAACTCTCTAGCGCCTCACAGACAGCTCGGTGATAATGTCTATTATGTTGTATGCGCTTAGAGCATCCCCGTTCAGCGGTAAATTAGCGGCCTCATTAGGTTAACGGTGCAAATTCTGAGCAGGGATTTGGGCTTGGAACCGCAAAGTCACGATATTTGGACCATCCGAAGACACAAGGCCCCAACGTGTTGTAGCTAAATCTACTTTACTTGAAATGTGTATATAGTTTCATAGAGGTAATCACAGTGATCATTTTTAATTCAGGACGAATGATGACCTCTTTACATCCTTTCCTTTTATATAGTGCTAAGAGAACGGTAAAATGAAAATAGGAAATATTGTAGTGTATGAAAATGGAGATAATATATCAAAGACAAGCGTATCTATATTTTGGTGGATTGCTGGTTGGTTTGTAAATAATCGAGTCTGAACCAGACAATCAAGTGATCAGCAGCATGAGCATCGTTCTGCACAATTGGGATACGATATCGATGACGTGTGTCAACCAAGTCAGCCAGCCTGACCACTTGATCCCGTTAGTCGTCTTTTACGACAAGCATGGTTTGCTGAAGACAAATTCTAACCCGGATCTTCACGGGTATATATTAAGTTGGAAGTTGAAAAAGATATGAAATATAAGCTTAAAATATTGAATGTTTACATTGTTGACTAATATTCATAAGTGTCTAGGCATAACATTTCATAAATTCAACACATTTAAATATTCCATTAAACACAATGTAGATAAAGTGATAATAGTCATTTATACACTTCAGCAGACTAGAATCAGTATCACCTTCAACAACAATTGAAAGTGTACACATCAACTTTTATTCATCCCGGCTGTGTGTAAAAGTCAGTATACCAACATTCATGCTGTAGGAAGAAACCCGAAGTATATAGTGCATCCCCTTGCTGTGATATGAGGAAAGTAGTTTATCCACCTAAAATATGGCAAGTATGGCACCTGCCCTGGGCGCCACTTGAAAGGGGATGCAACTGAGCAATTTCTATCCAAGTCAGATAAGCTATCCCCGGATAGTGAAATTTTCACTGTGAAAAAAGACTTTTCTTCAGATGTATAATCTGTCTTCGGTTACAACGGGCGAGAAGCACTATGGCAGCTGGATTGCCAAACCAGTCACAGCCGGGCAGGTACAGTTGAAATGTTCATGTACTGCCATAATTTGTCAGCTAAATGAAATAAGGAATTTGACAGTTATTATTGAGCTGATTCTGTGGTAAAGTTACTTGATGGGTGCCAGATGTTTGGACAGTGTCAGTGCTAGGTGCTATTTTCCGTTGTCCCTGCGTTCATCTTATTATTGCTCTGTACATACAACATCGTAATACGAACCTCGAGACATATGACGCCGCTTCTAAACGAGGTAAGATGGCCTTCATGTAATTCAGCTGATCCTGCACGGAGTTGTGGGATGGACAGGCAAATTCGGTCAACCAAATCTTCTTGTGGAACTTGTTATACAGGGTTTGAAGGTAGTTCATCGTGGTGTCTGCGCTGCACCAGTACGCATGCGTGGCTATGTAGTCCACCTTACATCCGGCACAATGGCGGAAGAACTCTTCAAACCACTGGATACCGTCATAGTTACAGATGGGGTTTCCCGAGCATGGGGCGGCAGCAGGGCTAACCAGTAGTTTCCCTTGACCCGCCCTTTCTATGAGCCGCCAGTGGTCAGCTGCCAGTTGAGGGGACAGATTGGCTTGGATACTGACAGACAGAACGGAGAGTTGGCTGTTTTAGGCCGTACATAGCAATAGTGCTGCTATAAAATGCCGTAGTGAAAATATCGAGTCTGGACCAGACAATACAGTGAATGACATTATGACCGTCGATCAATGCCTGCTGGGAATTCTTGCAATACTGAGGATATAGTAGAAAACTGCAGGAAACATGCATATAAACATTGCATCATAACCCGAAGCACAAACTGTATAGTTTTATTTACTGATACAAAGAGTATACCCAACTTAGAGTCTGACGATTCATCCTATATCAGCGTTAGTGGTTTGAGTTAAGCAGTCTTGGCTTGTTGTCGTGATGACATGAACAGTTTCACGACGTACGTGATTTCCCGCCTCTATAAACTGTATACCATTTCTTATCATCATATATGTGTACTCCATCGGGGGCGTTTGGGTGGCCTAGTGGTTAAAGCTTTCGCTCGTAACGCCAAAGGCCTGGGTTCGATTCCCCACATGGGCACAATGTATGAATCCGATTTCTTGTGTACCCCACCGTGATATTTCTGGAATATCTTTAAAGCGGCGTAAAACCCAACTCACTCACTCACTCACTATTCCACCGGACCTAAATGATAACCACTCGTTCGACTAAACTATTTGCCTATGGTCTTCCTTTGACCAACTTTAGTGTACCAGAAATAGACATCCTATCCACTACAAGAATCATGGTATTTTATGACGTTCAGTAACCCCGTGGTACTAGGCTTGGCAATGTCATGTCGCCGCACCTAGGTTCGTCCCTTGTTACTAAAGCTCATACTCGACTGGACCTATTATTGTCAGACTGATAAAACTGCTGAAAAGTATATCTGTATGTTCGTAGAAATGGGGATATTTTTTTATCTCGAAAAGAAATCTACGCAAACATTTACGATTATAGTAGAGTTTGGGCCCCTGTTTGAAACTGAAACTGCCATCTTGCGAACAAGTTTTGCTGGTGTTGGCACATTTAACAATACTGCACTGGCATAATAACAGTGTTGGAAGTATTATACCACGTGGAATGGAACAGACCTCTCCAGCTTTAGGAGCGAACCAATAGACACCTAAATGCCTATCAATGACGCAACACACTGTGACGTTATTCCGCTTTCTGTCACTGCACGATAAGGCTCATCCATTCAGTCAGTTGACTGGCTTGAAAGCGGAAGGTACAAATCTGCTTGCTTAGCCACTAAGGGTTCTTTCTAAAATGTACCTGAAGTTTGGCTCGTTGAATCCCAGAATATAGTGAGCGTTGCTTGGTATATGGAGTGGGAAGTCGACATTTTGTCTCCATCCCCAAATCATTGGAACCCGTCCTGCCTTGTTTTGTTTGCAGTTGTGTTGGTAAGTGGGCTGCTCGAACCAGTCGTACCTGAAAGGTAATTAATGGGTGGTACGTCATATAGCATTAGCCAACGTATTGTTACACATCACGGCTTCCATGTTTAGTATTACAACAATAATGTAACAACGTTAGTATTGCTGCTTCTATGTAGGCAGTGATCAAATATTATGTAAGAAATAGAAAAGTTTCGATTGGAAAAATGATAAAGTTGAGTACCCTACGAGGGTCGTTCAAGACGTAGTCTGCCTAACTATATTCTCGATGTCCAATGTTTGAAAAGCTTACTTTATATCGTTAGCAAAACCATATCCAAAATTTCACATATGTGGGTAATGAGGTTAACGAGATATTAGTCATCACAACACATTCGGGTATAATATTTCTTAAAAAATTAAAGAAAATGAATTTGTTACCTCTTGGATAATGGTATGTCCTCAGATAATATCATATAAAATGTGTTCAGTATAGTATTGGATGACTTCCCGTCATAATCAACATTCAAAGATTTGGATTGCTTGATTTATATTTAGACAGTGCTGTTTTTAGGGACACACCCATTTTAATCTTTCAAAGACATTGTGTCCAGATATTCAAGCTGGCACTGTGTACAATATATTGAGAGCGGACTTCTGTGTGTCCATTCAGTATTTGGTTTGATCCCTTGGCATCATGTATGAATAAGTGAAAGCATTAGAGTAAATTATGTCCTTATGATTACGTCATCTGAAAGGGGGGTAGGTAGTGTCTCCAAAACAAGCTGTTTCAGTAAACATGAAGTATGTTATTACTTTAACAAGAGAGTGTAGTTTCAAGTTGCTTATTATGCACTTTAACATCTAAGTTTGATTCTAGCAAACTTCTGCCTTTCTTAAACACACAAAATGTTTCTTGCATATTTTGTTTCCTCAAGTTTGTAATGCAGATTTTGCGGTTTGGGGGATTACCAAGACAAAAAGTCAAACAAAATGGGGATCGTGAGGCTGTAACATAGCAAAACCAGTTTTCTTGAGGATGACAGATAATATGTAGAAACATAAACATCAAAACAGCTGCATTTGTATCATTTTCTAGGTGAAGCTGACTACTTCTTAAACGCCCCTCGTATGTTTGTGAAGATGCTCTGCGTACAGTACAGTTTACCCAGAACGTACAGTTTACCCAGAACGTACAGTTTACCCAGAACGTACAGTTTACCAAGAACGTACAGTTTACCCAGAACGTACAGTTTACCCAGAACGTACAGTTTACCCAGAACGTACAGTTTACGCCGTTTCACACATTACGCATCTTGTTTACCTTACGTGTCACAGTGGTTTACAGGTTTTACTAGAAGGTCCATGATCCATATACTCAAATACCAAATATACACTCGATAGATAATAATTTCGATTGAACTTCAACAATAATGTTAATAATGATGAATAACTGTTATCAATATATCGGCGATATCTTAATTTTGAATAGAAAAAAGTAACTGACATTGTAATTCCCCCGTGTGACACAAACAACCCCTAATATGTATAGATAGGAAACTCGGAGAGAATGTTGTCTGGCGATATCATATGCTGATCGTGAGAGAAAACTGCGATTGTCATCTCCCGTACGTTACCAACAATGTCAACTGGGATTGTAATCCCCCTTATAGGGCTTCCACGGGTACTCGAGGACGAGTCGGGTTCAGGGACTCGAGTCCATTTTCAAGGACTCGAAAAGGGGAGATAACTCGAATTATTTGACGTTGACAGACTGTCTGCCATGGGCTATGCACGAGCGGCCGTTAACGTCTAATATTAAGATAAGATATAACTTTATTATCCCGGAGGAAATTCTTATACATCCAAACTGTCTCAAAATGAATATATACACAGTTCACAAAAATATACACAATAATTACATGCTCAAAACGAATGCTATTTACAAATAAATCTGACATGATATAATTCAATTAACCACATAGGTAAAGAGGCTGAATAATTCTAGTTCTAATCACATGATGGTGTGATTCAAAATATTTGTTGCATTCACGAATACTTGATGGTATGAAAGACTGTCGAGCTCTGTTTGTTTTGAAGGAGGGAATCGACAGCAGCGTCCACAAGGAAGTAGTTCAAAATGGTGAGATCAAATATATCAACTATCAAATCTAATTTTAGCTGCCTTTTTGACAATCTGGCGCTCATAGATAAAGGGAATATACTCGAAAGACACTCCAGAAATTTTGCAAGCAGTATTAACAATTTTGAAAAGTTTGTTTTTGTTGCGATGAGACAGATCCCCATACCAACATAGAAAATTGTAGGTCAACACACTTTGAATAAAGGTTTGATAAAAAACTGTCATTACGGTTTTGTCAATGCCTTGACGATAATAATGTTCAGAATCAGAAATTAGGCCAGTAACAGTGGCGTCATCTGCAAATTTCACAGTAAACAAGTCATATATTGACAAGTAACAGTCATTGGTATACAAAACGAAGAGAACGGATGAAGGAACACAGCCATGTGGATCTCCAGTAGAGGTTGAGAGAAAAGAAGATTGATAGCCATTGACACTGACATACTGAGTTCTATGTACCCTGAATTCTTTAACCCATCTGATAATGTTTTATTAACACCTAAATTAAATAGTTTACTCCTCACACGGTGTGGCTGTATGGTATTAGTTGTTACAAGTCTGCAGATGAGAGTAAATATTATACATCGTTTGAGATTTCACTTCTTAAAATGATTAGGTAACTATCTTGACAATTGATAGACATGGAGAAAGATAAAAAATCAAATGTATGGGCGTATCTTGATCTGGATAGTGAAAAGAGCAAAATAACCAAATGCCGCCTGTGCGGTATATCACTGCGTTTTGCAGGCAGTACAAGAAGTACGAAGAAAAAAAACTTTGTCAAGTAAACATCCAAATACTGATTCTGACCAATAGGAAATGTTAGTCACATGACGATATGAAGTCGGAAAGAAGTAAGTGTTCACTTGTGTGATCGGAACACGTCATGCAATTTACGCTATCGTTTGCTTGAAAGGTATGAATTTCGAGTACTCGGGTCCGAGTCGAGTCTCATCCCTCGAGTACTCGAGTCCAAAAAAATGGACTCGTTGAAGCCCTGTTTTTTTTAAATGAGCAATTACCATTATAAAATCAACATGGATTCCAATCATGTTGTTTTTCATGAGTCAGAGGATCACACGGGGTTTTTTCATCATAATCACCACGAGAAGTTTTATGTACGTGTTGAAAACCTATCATTGCTAAAATACATTTGTGCTTAATTGAGTTCTTTGTGTATACCTCGATTTAAACATGAAACAGATTAAGCTGTTTCACCCTTCCCTATGTTTCTCTTTTTATTCTGTTGACACTAATTGAACCAGATGTTCAATATACCTGGGCCCATATCCACAAAGCGTTCGTAGCGCTACAACCTTCGTAAACCTATGATAAACTATAGAGTTACGACAGGTCGTAACGTTACGAACGCTTTGAGGATCGGGGTCCAGAACCGTAAGTTAAACTTTCTGTTCTAATTTCCTTGATTTCAGGTTGCCTACCCAGGTAGACATTTCGGTAGGCTAGTCCGGTACATATGAACCAGCAATAGAAGTTGTACACAGGTACGCCTTCTTCTGCCACAATTGCCCAATTTCCAAATTTGAAATAGAAGACAGCAAAGTGAAGCATTCACATGTCGGTTTCTCAGTAAACTGTTTGCATTTATATAGCCATGCGCGCGTTTTCCTGTGTGTGGCCGCTTGTACGCGGCGGTCCTATAGCACCAGCTGAATGTCATACAATGGCACAGCTTAACATTCCACACTCACAGACTACTTAAAGCCGGTTGTTTCGTGCCTTAATGACAGGCTGGGTAACAGGAGGTTGCCATCTTATAACCTATTTTGGTTTGACCTGGCGGGGATTCGAACTTCCGCTTTCAGGACGGCCACCCTGTCCACCGCACCACCACATGGTCCTTATGTTTACTAACACATACTCTAGTAACCAAGGAATGAAGTTTCCACTTATCTTTCTTGTTTTGGAATGTGTTGAAACATCCAAGGCTTTGAAAGAGTGGGATTTATTTACCCTCTGTTAAAAGAATTATGTCGTGCAGTTTACAAAGCTATATTAAGTACTAAGGGTGTCTAGTAAGCTTCCCTAACTCAGATTGTTAAAGATCTTTTGCACGAATGTTCGGAGGGGATGTAAGAATGGGTATGTGTGTTTCACATTATATCTAGAGAATTACTCAGAAACCCTTTGACATTGATATGTTTTCCAGCTAGTTTTATGGGAATGTCCACAATATGATACTGGTTATTTTATTATCTGTTTTCTTACTCTTACTTTTACAGAAAATGTTAAATAACGTAGTCACAATATTCATTTATTGTTAGAGAAAACCATTATGACGGATTCAGCAAGTTTTTTATTACAAGATACAGCTGTCACACTTGCAATACAAGAGATCCACATGGATGGTTATAACAAGCTGCTGGAGGGAATACACGGGGGCATATCAAGTAAAGCTAACACAGAACTTTTCACAACTTTAATTCACACATTCACACTTGACAAAGACATATGGTCAATATACCAACCATTATAATATAACATTATAAATGATGACGATGGCTGGACTTTTGTAGTAAAAGATAAGAAGATTCAGTCACTTGAAATCAGTTAACTGGAGTCTTGAAACAAAGAGTGGTAGGACATCCACTCCTATAATTTATTTTGTTCACATGTATCAGTAAAGATTTGTTGATCTATTGTATGTCTATTATTTTAATTCATATTGAAAATTCTTGAGATATAAATTCACCATTTTTAATTTACATTTATGAATAAAAACTTTGAAAAAGAATCAAGTCAAAAACCATATCAGTTATTACATTTTCCTTTACACCAAATAAAATGAATTCTGCACTTAAATTCATGTTATAAATATGATAACAGCTATTAGTTATCCAAAGAAGCAACTTATTCCAAATAGCCTTCGCTTCATGACACGCTCCCCAAAAAGATGCAAAATACTTTCTTGTTCAGAATTACAGAAACTGCACAGAGGACTCGCGGCCTTACCAATGTTAAATATATGTACATTTGTTGCAATTATTCTGTGCACCAGTCTCTTTTGAAACGATCGTAATGATGTGTCTTGTGTAGCCTTTAAAGGTTTTAGATAATGTTTGGCCAGTCAACAGTTTGGAATAAAACAGTGTCATTTTGGCATTTAAGCTGTGTGATTTAATTAAACTTTTGGAAGAAAGGAATATAAAGTAAAATCTTTTGGAACCTTTTTTAAGAGATGCAAGTTCCTTTAAAACCAATATTTAACTAGGGGCAACAGGGTCGCTCTTTAGAAGTACTCAACACACCATAATATTCCAAAACCGTAACATTCATGTCTTAACATTCTTTAAACTCATACTTTTGTTAAATAAAGTTTCCCAATAACAATTATAGCACACGTGACTTTATTACTTAACACATCCACTCAGTCCACTATATCCGGGTCCATCGGGATCGTCACGCGCGTGATGACTCACGCAAAAACAGAGCAAGATTCAGATCTGACACTAGCACGATTCCGGTAATGTGACATCTTCAGACTGACCGATCCGAATACTGATTATCCACACTAACTACCCCCAAAAGGCCAACTACCAAGTGCCCGGAACCAAATTGGGTGTCAACCGATTCCTTTAAATTAGTCACGCATACTTTGTATTTCAATATTACATGTATTTGTTTTTGACAAATGTGTTAATATTAGTTTGTATCCCACTATTTTCTCGTTTTCCCCTCTCGTATTCACTGTTAAGTTAGAAGGTACTACATCATTCTCCTATAAAAAGAAACACATATTTGACGATGAAAATGTTGATTATATCACATGTAAACGGTATCATGGTAGCCCAATCGGCCATGCCGAAAGGAAATCTCCAAGAGTCTTTCTGCATCGAAATCCCTGTCTGGTGAAAACAGATGTATTTTGTGTTTATAACTTATTTTTCTACTAATCACTGGATAATCGGGATCGAGAGTCTATTATTTACAAACCGTGGTCTTACATACTCATAAAACCCATTATTGAATACAGACTGCCTGGTTGTGTATGTGGTTCCAATGCACCTGTAAGCATGGACAATGTAGTACTAATGCATGCAAACTGTTAAGGATGCCTATCAACAACTGGTAAGGGTGTGCCATACAGCTTTCGTATTAAGGCTCAGAACAAGACTATGGAATACAGCTAAACAACAAATAAACATACTCTCCCTACAAAACATGAGTCATAAAATGTCTGCAGCTGGCCACCTGTTTTCAGATCAGTCCAGATTCACTGGCCTTACACTCATTATATTACTAGGGGTGGCTCTCTTTGATTGGCAGAACCCCACTCGTACGTTTTTTGACGTCTTCGGCTACAGCTCCATGTCATGTTGTCAGAGCTCCCACCCTTAACTATCTAGCATATCATTCTATCTAACAACTCCAATCATTCTACCTAACGACAGATTTGAGCTAAAGAAACTGTATAATCAATGATGTCATACTTTGTGAATCATGTTTGAGTCAAGCACATGTTTGGCTCTAGAACTGATATAGTATTATAACGAATCTTATTTCAAACTAGGACGGACCGATAAGGTTAGGTAACGCATCGAAGACACTGTTCATCGAGTATGTGCGTGTGTAGGAGCACCCCTCTTTTTCTCAAGAACCTGTCTCAGCGCACTTGAGTTTATAGGAACCCTACCCTAATCACATTTTACAAAATCCAGGATCCGTCTGTGTGAGACTTACGGATTGCCAGATACCATTTCCCACACAACTACCTTTATAGCAGGCTGTAGGTTTGTTTTACCAGACGTTAAGTCTAAAGTGTATTTGAACTCAAGAGGAACACATGTTCTTACCACCAGTGGACATTAGGAAAAGCTAGAAGGTCCTCACATCGGAAACCCTGGGACGGGATTCCCACCCCCTTCTTGGCAGATCCGCAGGCCCCCACGACGAGACTCAGTAGAATGAACCCCCCAGTGAACATAGTCTCACACTGCACAGCAACTGTTGGCATATGGCCTCGCCCTAGATACCATCTGCTTATCTTCGTCACGTCCGCGCGTACATCAACATTGCTATAGTGTATGGCATAAAGCTTGTTTTATTGGCCTTAATTAGTTGGTCGTTAAGCTAAATCAAATCATAAATCTGTTGTTTGATATAATGCTATAACCCAAATCACTACTTTCTCATGTTGTTGGTCAGTAAGAGGTCTTACTCTCATCTGTCTAGGCATTTCTAACTAAAAGACATGTGAGTTTAAACAAACAAATAAAATATTGCTGATAGATCAAACATCTGTTATACATACAAGCAAAGTTGTTTGAAGCTTTTGTCTCTTTTCTTAAGGAAAACCAAGTTCTATGGACAGTCAACTTCTTTATTGCAATGAGTGCGACGTTTCGGTTTAGATACAAACACCGTTATCGCAGATTTCTTGATAACAGTGTTAGTCTCCATACCGAAACGTCGCACTCATTGCAATAAAGAAGTTGACTATCCATAAAACTTGGTTTTACTTCATCTTTACAACTTCTAAAATGCCTCTCAAAGAACTCCTTTATTAAGTTGTGTTAATGAAACATATAAATAACCGTTTTCGCAGTTGTTTAATATATCTCGTCCAGGTTTTCATTTTTCTCACCAAGTTTCTATATTTTTTAAACATGGATCTAGAAGATTTTCATTCGATTCGTTTGATGCTCTGTAGCCAAGTATGGTTATCGTATATACATTGTATCCCAGTTATATCGTGGCTTGTTAATTCATAGAGCCTAAGGATCGCAGGTGGTGATGTTGGCAATTTCTGTGTATTCCACAGGTACGGTGATGACGGACCAAACACTGGATCATGCACCGCTAAGGGAGGCAATTCTGCAGGGGCACCTGTACCCGAGTTACTATGAAGACCAAAATACAGTATGCAACAAACGGTAGTAATACAAGATACTGGCGAGATATACTCATGGAAACGAATAAGGGAACACATGAAAGTACAAGTGTTCCTTTATTCTTTTCCAGGTTTCTTCACAAACTTTGTATTGTACTGTGGGTGAAATTTTGGAAAAGAATAAAGGAACACTTGTACTTTCATGTGTTTCCTTATTCGTTTCCATGAGAATATAGTCTATGTATTTAAAGACTGATCCACGGGAAATTCGTCGATTTGATACGAAAGATAAGAAAGAAGCCCTCGTAAAATGTCTTGATCTAATTAGAACTATACGTAGTCAACAAAACCTTACGTCCGAGTTGAGTGAACTGATCTCGTTTTTTGACTCCTCGCGGTTACCGGACGCCCCAACAGAGTTACCCCTCCAATGTGTTATCCAGCAAAGAATGATCCAACTCTAGGCCACATCTAATGTAGTCTTACATGCTGGGGCACTGTCACAGGATGAAAGTATAACTTGACTGAATGTATAAAAAAACACTAAAAGTAATACAGATCAGTTAAAACAGCTTTCTGATGTTTATGTAAGTAAGTATGTAAGTAAGAAGGCTACAGGCTTCAGCCAATTGCAAGTAATTCCTGACTTCGGATCCATACAAAAGTATGGGCGCTACCATAACTTCGAATGTTTTAAATATACAGTTTAAGAATATATATTGGTGAAGCAAAAAAAGATTCGCCCTGAAATATTCCTCTTCTGAAAGAAATGTCACCACCTAGTTGCACCTACCCTTACAAAGACATCTACGGTCAGTTGATAATTAGGGCTCCTTGCCTTTAGGCAGGAGACCTATTGAAATCGTTCGTGTTTTTATTATTAGGGCTCCTTGCCAAAAAGGCAGGAGACCTATTGTAATCGTTAATGTTTTTATTATTATTTATTCTTCCGCCGTATTTTGTACCAGACCTACAGAGAGCACCGCTGGACAGAATGCCTTGACAAAAATCACCCAGATGCCCACCGAGGTGTACACATCGCGCTTTAAAATCTCTAGGCTGTAGGCCCAATAGCAAAGGGCAGATAATTCAAAATTAATTCAAATGCAAATGCAAATATCTCCAATACTAATGCTCCAATGTGTGTCAAAGTTCTTGAGCAGATGCGCAATCAAAATGCCTACAATTTCGACTGTAAGGGCCAAGTCGCTAAAATGCACCGTTTGGACGCTATGTATGATTGAATTTTTTGTTGATGTTTTTAAGCAAAATGCTGACTACTTTCCTCCCAAAATGTGCTGCATTGAAACTACAAGAGCTACGGCTTTCAAACGTTGCATACTTTGTGTCTATGCATGTTCCTACACAGTAGCATCGTCAAATGTTACTGTGAGTATATGATGGCCGCCATATTGGACGCTACTTTTGGGCAAAAGTTGTCTTCAAAAACTTTCACGGGCTTCTTTGCCATTTTGTGCCAAACTAAACTTAGCACATACAACACTTTAAACGCTTGTTCTGAAGTGGCCTTTGGTTGTTGAACATTTTCTGTTCTTGGTCCTATGTCAAAAGTCACGTGATGCGGCGGCCATATTGGATTGAAGATGTTTATCGGAAATGTGCAGATTTTGTGGGGTAGGCATTTTTTGCATGGTTGTTGAACATTTTCTGTTCTTGGTCTTATGTCAAAAGTCACTGCAAGCGCTACGGCGTTCAACATTATCCGTGTGAATACAACGTATGGGAGGTAAAAGGAAAAAATGCTATTTGAGACGAGCCCCAAATGAAATAAAAAGAGTGCCAAACAAACTCACCCACAACTCCAGGCACACCACGCCAAACATTACGCAAAAAGGCTTCCAACAACGTACCAGTGATCATAAATAATACTTACAGTCAAAACCCCAAAGTTTGGACAGATTTAACAAAATAGGGACTTCTTTATATCACCGACGGCCCAGGGATAGCTGAATGTGTCATAAGTTTCATTAACATTTACAGCACGGCCGATTACTCGTGCAAAACATGCGACAGTCTGAAGGAAAGCGCAAGGACGATATCTCCTATAAAGAGACTACCACTGCAAAGCGTGGTCCACGTGCATATATGGGAGACGATGTCAATTTCAATTGACAATGACGAGAGAAGTGTGTATGGTTGCGAAAGCTATGTAAGAATGCAAATACCGTTACGGCAATGACGATTTATCTCCTTTAGACAATGAAAACGTTATAAAATCCGTACAGAATTATATAACTGAAACTAACCGCTTTATGCAATTCAAGTAACAACGTATAAACATAAAATGCACTTGGTATCTTGTTCTTTATTTTCTTTTTTTTTGTTTTGTTTTGTCTATTGTCTAGGGTTAATTAGCTTGTAACCCAAAGTGGACACATTTTTCTAGACTTTGTTTTTACACGACTTAGGGTGTCCACGTCCCGAGAATACCCCTACTGGAGTACCTTAGTTGCTGTAAAACCACATGTTCACTTGTGTCAGCGTGAGAGGAACAGCGTTATGGATATTGATAAACGCTACAGAAATACGTGCTTCGTGTCGACATGTCTTTTTGGTTGCAGAAAAACTCCGCACCACAACTCGCCAGGTACCTCTATCAGTAGGCAATGCACCATGATAAAGAGCATAAAAATGTCATTCTTTCGGTAAAATGACACATGAGTTGTGTTTACTGACCGTTAAATGTGAATCCGACTTGTCAGCTACATGTGACGTACATTTAAATTCACATAATGTCAGTCACAGTGAACCTTTCAAATTATTTAGTTCAGGCAACCAAATTTTGTTTCTCTGACTGTTTGAACAAAGGGTTCTTCTGTTTTGATATTCATGATACCTAAGTGATATTATTTAATCTACGAAAATAGGTTTTGTGATGAGTTTATCGAAACTTAAAGACCTGTCAGTACTTCCAGTCGAAGAGCATTCGACTGGCAGTGATATGATTCATATTAACTAATACTATTACTACTTTCCTCAGATATGTGAGAGATTCGAAAGGCTTCATAGAAGTAAACCCAAGGAGCCCTACATCGCTGCTCGCAACTATATTTATTCTCATTTTTATTATTACACTTTTGCCGGGTTGCTCACATCAATCGGTTTAACACTATAAGTAATAACGGCGGCCTGTTTAAGCAGATACATTATCTGTTTATGCTTGGCTCTGAATGTGCAATGCTTGAAACGTTAGCATTTCCATTGGGACATTGAGGTGATTCGTTATAGAGAATGGTCTCCATACATCCTGGGTAGAGGGGAGAGAACTCCGTTACTGTACTCGGGAAATAATTGTATCTATGTGATGAATGTACATAATCTACTGTCACTGTACCAACGATTTTACCTTTGCCTATTCGACAGTGACAGGGGAATAATTACGGGTTTACATATTTCAAGTAATTTTACGGCTTATATTATGTGTTCTCCCATTCCCGTACCTTACTGTGGTAGTTCTGGTGGATTTCACGCAGCCTCGTTTTCAAACTCCTTTTCATCAATCTCCATATTCAGTTCCTCCAGCGAATGTGTACCAATCAGAAGTAGTCACAAACAGTACTTGTGCAAGAATTCAAACCGCCCACAAGGATTACATTCCCTGTGTCTGATGAGCACAGCTGAATCCTGTTTCGAGGAACCTGACATGGCATCATCAAGGACATGAAACGTGTTTGATAGCTGGAGCCGGCCTTCCTCTGTGTACCTAAACTACACCATATCCATACCATAAGTCGTTACATGTTTGACCTGAATTTGTCAAGAGGTTGTCAAACAAGTTTGAATGTGATTTTCAATGTAGCTGACGTCTGAATACTGAAAAAGTCTTTTTGGCCATTATTCGGTATTCTTACAAGGATGTCACGAAGAGAGCTCAGCACATGTTATCGTTTCCACCTTGATGGTCCGTGGTCGTACTTCCCTCAATACACGCTCTCAGCTCTGTAAACCAGTGGACAAAGAAGCTGAAACCTTTGCCCCCGTCCCATTACGACACCTGAACATGTTCAAGAGGTTCAGATACCCTCTTGTCTTTTTGTATTCGACCCGTGAAGATCCGGGTTACAATTGGTCTTCATTAACCCATGCTTGTCGTAAGAGGCGACTGACGGGATCGGGTTGACACATGTCATCGTACTGGATTGTCTGGTCCATACAGCTGGAATATTGCTGAATGAGGCGTAAGACAACGTGTTATTTAAATTTGTAGATGCCTTATGCATTGTTTTTGGTTGTATATTCCTTTAAAAACCTTTAACTTTGCCAAAATCAGCGATGAATATCCACTGCCTTGGAGCATTTGACGTTTTTCTCTTCAGGTTTTCAGTGACTATTGCGCGTTGTATCAGAAAAGTTGTCAATTGCAGAAAGACGGAGCGCATGCTAGCTAAGGGACATAACTCTGTAGTGTCTGTTGCACGTTATGTGACTTAAATTCCACCTGTTTGCGAGTGAGTGAGTGTTAAAATCTAACGTCGGGTCGGCAATATTTCACCCCTATAGCGCCTATGTACGTTGCCAAGGTGGGTATATAGGACAAATATCCAAAAATCAGATTTGAGTGCTCGCTTAGGACACCCCATCTACTTTAATGTACACATGTCGATTTCTGAAGTTCGGGGATATTAATTCTATGAGTACAACAATGCTTGATTACTTAAATTCATGTTTTGAAGTGTCTATATTAAACTTTTTTATGATTTAGTTAGTGAATCTAAGTGTGAATGAGTGTCTATGTCAGGGTTGGATTTAAAAAATGTGAGTCCATAATATCACACCTCTTATATGAACCTAAGTAACTGAATTAATGTACATTGTGATAGCTTTTTGAACTCAGGTTTAATCTTGCTGAAGTGTCTTATAAAGTTGCCTATATCTTTTCTCGTCTGATTTGGGCCAAGCACTGCCCTGGGTGTCTGGTTCTGTCTGTATCAGGGACTCGGAAATAACATGTTAAATACAAAAACAACAACCTTGGACGGCACATTAAACCCACACCTCCCACACCACCGTGCGTGTGTTAAGTATGGCCTTTCAGTGTTGGGTTGAAACTTAATATGCGTCATTACAGGGTATGAAACTCCCAAACATTTCAGGCAGACCACAGGGCTGGTTAGATGTAAAACCTGCCAGCCCTGACCAAAACATACCTGCCCGCAAATAATTTATGTTTGACAAGCGACGTACTTCATCATCCAATTGGAATTCATCATGTATTTTTACGAGTGAATTAATAATGATTAATTATCCTGAAATATGATGAATATGTTCACATTCATGTCTAAATTTTAACCCGACCGTCGAGCAGGTGAACTTGAGAATCTGGCAGTCCGTGTTGAAAATAACGCTGGTGATAAAGTGAAGGAATACCTTGCGTACTGTGCATGTCACTGTCGCTAGGAACACCGTCTACTTCAAGCTGGTGGTATAATCAGGTCAGGGGAACCCACTGGTCTGTCTTATCTGGTTTAGGGTGTGGTGGAGATATGTGATTTATTGGCGGGTTTTCATTGGGGTATCCTCAGGTATGTCAGTCCACTTGGCACCCAATTTCTCCCCTGGCTCTACATTCCCCGGGTCTAAGGGTAACAGACACACATCTGGAGAGTCAAGGTGATTGCTAGCCATCTCCTGTTTGCTGGAAAGACGCACGTAGACATACATTTGTCGCCTTGGGTGAGTGAGTCCTACAGTGAAAGCCATTCGGCACTATTCTGCTCACAGTCGTTCTGTGTTGGTCATGTAAGCGGTGACTAGCGGGATTGGGTGGTCAGGCTCGCTAACTTGGTTGACATATGTCATCGTATCCCATTTGCGTAGTTCGATGTTCATGCTATTGATCACTTGATTGTCTGGTCCAGACTCGATTATTTACAGACTGGCGCTATATAGCTGGAATATTGCTCACTCACTCACTCACTCACTGTGCTGGTCGTCTTGTGGTAGTGAGTCCTTCTACAGAGCTGGGTTCTGCCTGTACTATGTCAGCTCAATGTGAGAAGGAAGCCAAACGTAATGCAGTTGGAAGACGTTTATCTGTTTTCTGTAAGCCGTGGATATGGTGCCAATAGACCAGGGATCCTCATACTGGATTCAAACCCTTGACCAGCGAGATCCAGCGCCTAAAACCACTTGGTCTCCCATGCTTGTTAGTTTCAGAATAAAATAAAACAATATACAAAAACTCCTTCGTGTCGACTAAATTATACATGAAACTCGAATCGAATAAAAACATAATTCGATACAATGTTCCACGATTTAAAAAGGCTTTACTATACAAATAGCATTACAGAAAAACTTGATTTCACTTGGCAAACACTATGAATTATTGGTTCCAGAACGGGATAATTCAATATATCACCAACAAAATACCCGCTCAAAATTCGTGCCTTGATAGTGATGGTGACTGATTGATGGTGTTGAGTAAATAACCAGCTTTATTAACACAGTTGGAATACAAAATATATTGTTCTGATAATATCACCACCATCTGATAAAATACAATTCAAATGGTTGCTTACTCAAGTATATACTCAAAATCAATTCAAGAGCAGAAACTTCAATGATCGTTATATACCGTTTCAATATTTTATCAAAAACACGTTTTTAGATTTAATGTTTCATTCCCAGGCAAAATAGGAGATTCGTTCTTCCTGTATGTGTTGGCCAAAGATAAGAACGACTTCCTGCAGATGGTTTCGTTAGAAAGGTTCGGCCTTTACTTTAGGTGACTCAGGTGTTCCGTGTCAGGTGAGTGAGTGAGTGAGTGAGTGAGTGAGATTAGTCATGGAGGTAGGTTTAACGGTTTGAATTTAAACTTTAATGGAGGTAGGTCCCGAGTCAGGTGAGTGAGATTAGTCATGGAGCATGTCTTATATCTTATATCTTATATATATAGTATTATGTCTTATATATATAGGTCATGCTTATAAATATATCAGCGTCGGGCGCCTATGTCATGGAGGTAGGTTTAAAGGCACAATACCACACCACATTTCTCTAAAAATACATAATGCATTTCTCTCAATAATGCTATTAAAACTATAAGCCCTCAGGGAAGCTACCATATAATCTATTCAAAAAAGAAATTACGCATTTAGATTACAATATTAAAATAAAAAGTTCGAATGAATTAATGTAACGTGGCTTTAAATCGACTCTCGCGCCCTGTACGGGCCGAACATTATTTCAAAGAACCCAATAGAGTTATGTCCCTTGGAGCGATCTTTACTAATATCCTACACACAACTTCTGATTGAAACCAGTTCAGCAAACACCGACAACACAGCATGCGACAGTTTTCAATGTACGGAGCAGTTGTTTACATTCCATATAAGGCAAGTGTTCTTTGTGTGGAAGCTGTTAGTTTTGAAGTTTCAATTATCAATTTCAGACAAGTCGTAAGGGATAATAGGTCTTTTATTGCATCAAAGGGAACATATAGTGAGTGCATATGCCCCCCAATATAAAATATAGGCCAAAATATTGTCGAAAATGTGTGACATTGTGACTTTAACGCTTTTATTAACATTATATTTACATTCCATTTCAATAGCAATAGCTGACCACAGGTGTGCAGGTGGTCGGCGTTCAGCCTTTTGGTGGGACCTTCGAGCATGGTTTTGAGGCTAACTTAGAGTGGCAACACAGAACTGGGTTGAACGCCCCGCTCAAGATCCACTTATATAGCGACTTGCACGATCGTGAACATGGTTGTTTACACTAGTCGGAACCCGTGCCGGTATTACAGTGCTATCCCACAGAAATACCGAGTTTAACATAGATACCCCAATCACACACATCGCATAGACTTACAGCTGGCCAGGCCTTGTTTTAGCATCTTAACGCCGAGAACCGGACAGGGCAACAACAACTACTATAAGTTATCAAATCGTGTCGAGGTAAATACGGGGTTTTATCAGTCCCGAGTAAGGTTGTATTCCGTTCGCCTCCGGCTCGGGGAAGACAACCTTACTCGGAACTGACAAAACCCCGTATTTACCTCGACACGATGTGATAACGCATTTATCTAGCCGAATGTTTTTCCTAAATGAATGCTTCAATTTCATTCTCAGTTGTTTTGGCAAAACGTTTCCTTGCTGCCATGTTGACAACAGCTGATCAATTGACCTCAATGCAGCGCACGTTACTAAAGGCATGGCGATGCACGCTTTTCTCACTTCACGTGGTCACCAGAGGCGTGGTGGGATAATATGACTTTTGTACTCCCCTGCTCGCGGATCGTGACGGGTGTACATGGTATTTTATCAGAGTCACGTGAACCAATCAAAACTCGACATTCTTACATGAGGCTGGATAATATCGTTTAACGTTTGTTGTATGACGCTGACCGAGAATCGAACCCCGACCTTCCACCTACAGGGTAGACGCTCTAGCCAGTACAATTCATGGAGGCCATCGCGAACGAGTAGATAAAGGCATTTACCTTGCCCGTTTCTTTTCATAACAGATCTTTTGTCGTTTGTGTACAGGCACACTACACAGCATTGGGTCACCTGGACAATTAAGGTATTCTTTTCGGGTTGCAATTCCTTACAAGGAAATCTTCACTGTTTGTTCTCGAGTTACCTCCTCGCGCCCACACCAAGACAGTCTAGACTACAGCAAGCTATTGGACAGAGGCGTGTTGTCAGGTTGACGCATGAAGTTAGGGTTTTCTTTCTAATAGGTAGTTGCAGGATTGGAGTTAAGTTTGTGCTTGTTGCTTTGTGTATTTGATGTCACTGTTGAAATGTTAACAACAGTTACTGGTGGACGTCCGCCAGTCCGGGCTGTCTTGAACGAAAAGTCGTCTGGGTTAATTTTCTTCAGCTACACTACTGTTCAATGTAAACATCCACTGATGGTTGAGCTCAGCCCCTCGAGTGGTGTCTGTGTTTATAGGTAGTGCTATAGTATTGGTCAGCTCGGAATCAGTACAGAGTGTCTGAGTGAGGTATCCAAGTTCGACCGGCGCGGGGTATTTCGATGGGATGTGCTATAACGTCGGCGGGGTCATATGTTCCCTTCAAATACTTAACTTGGTTAGGTGAACCTGCCTTACATGTCCTCTCAACTCCTGGATTATTCACGTTTATTAGTCCCATTAACACGAACGTGAATGCTAACGGCTGTCTGGATTGACTGTGTATACAACCGATGGAGAAAAACCCATTGACTAATTGATTGGTTGACTGATCACTGTCAATCTAAAACTAAACATAACAAATGTGCTGTTACTTGACTTTATACGAACTAATGCTATTGTGTGGGTTTAAATCCCAAAATTTAAATTGTGGTTCAATATCAGTTGCAAAACCTTTGCATCGTGACCCTTAATCCAAATCATACCCCAGTTGTGAACCTCCTCTGTTCTATTTATTTATTTGTTGTTGATTTTTGTAGGAGACATTGTTAGACAGAATTGTAGGTTTAACTACAGCGGTAAATGTCTACGACCAGCACCACTAACAGGTATTCTCGTATCAGCATTAAACCAGGGATCTAGTGCAGTACCGGGCGGGGTGGGAGAGGATAACAAGTTATACGATAACGTTACAAAACGCCTTCAACATCACGTGACAAAATGTCAGTGTCGTAACGCCCTTGTTATCAAAGACATACTCCAGCTGAACTGAACTGAACTGAACTTTTATTTCTCTCAAGGCTACATACATAGCATAATGAGGCTTTACAGAGGTCAATAGATAAAGTAAGTAATGGCGACCTAAAGTCTATTTAAAATTGCATAATTTTGGAGCGACAAAACTTGACAATTTAATCAAATCGGAGACGCTTTTACTTTGAAATAAACTTATCATTTTAAATACAGATGGTCTTTTCATGTACAGTGTTTGAAGTAGTTTCTTTCTCAGATAGTTGAAATAATAACAGTTAGTGGTATTCATCTCCAATATCATTTGAAACATATAGGGTACATTTTCTATCAAAAATATCACCGGTCTCAATCGGTAATCGATGACATGATAATCTAAACAATGTTAAAGCAATTGTATGTTTATCAGGTAAGTGTCAGGTAAATTTTGTAGGTAGAATTCAATACCAGTGTTAAATATAATAGATTTATAGAATCTACCCTTAGATGATACTTCTAGATCGGAGTGCCACTTCTGTATAAACAAATCAATGAGACTCTTCTGTACCTTATGCTTTATCCACTCTACATTACCACAAAACTGTTGAATCCACATGTCGTTGTTTCCAGTTTGAACTAAAATATCATGTATACATGAGATCCACTTATTGTCTGGTGATCTATAAGAGGCATTAACTAAGATATGATACAATATTCAATAACTTTGAGGATTTGCCTGAAGTCCAATTGGTTTAAAAGCATACCATTTTTGAATGAATGTCAATACTAATAGGTTTCCTTCCAGTCTCAGCATACAACATATAATGAGGAGTACTTTTCTTTACACGAAGTAGTTTTTCTTAAAAACGTTAAATGCACATTTTCAATAATAATTAAATTTCCAAAGCCCCATATTTCAGCTCCATATGTTAAGACTGGAACCACAATAGCATCAAATAACTTCAGTTGGCAGGCGATAGATAATTAAAACATCTAGCTTTTGATAAAATATAATTCATAGCTTTAAGAGCCTTCTCACATAATGATCTTCTTACTGATGCGAAGGTATATTTCTTACTAA